CGCCTCCCTGGGCCTCAGTTTCCCCATGTATACCATGGGCAGATTGGACTAGAATCATTTGGCCAGTGGGTGGGTATTTACTGAGCATCTACTGTGTTTCAGCCATGGTGCTGGGGATACAGTGACAGAAAATTTCCCGATTCTGGCCTGAGAAGCTCACTGTCTAGAGACCCATGTAAATGAGCCATTATAACCCAGCATGCTCAGGGCTCCACGCTGGGAGCCCAGAGGGTGCTGGAGCAGAGAGAATGCTGCTAATCTCCTTCCCCAAAGGCTGGAGTTCAGGGACAGCTCTCTGGAAGTGGTGCTGACTGAGCTACAAGATGCATAGGGGGCAGCCAGGCAAGGGAGCATGGAGGACAGTCTTCAGGTGGATAGAACAGCCCGAGCAAAGTGTGGCTCTGTCTCATTCGCTGCTGTCTTTCTGTGCATTGCACAGTTCCTGACACATGCAGATGCTCGGTAAATAGCTGGGGCATAAGTGATCATGTCTAATTTACAGATGGGGAAACTGAGACCTGGGGAGGTTTCACAGCACACCTCGAGCTCTGGCCTCCCTGGATGAGGCCACTCTGCCTCCTTGGAGTGCCAGAAGGAAGCTGCTCCGTGGGTGTCCCTCTGAAGGCCAGGCCTGTGCTGTGATGGGGCAGCAGCCCAGCCCTCTCCTGCCACATGAAAGATGTGGGCTATTTTTGCCTGGAAGACAGGCCTCAGTGGCCACAGGGGCTGTGTAATTAGAAGTGGCCCTGGGTTCATGAGGGGTTGGAGCTAGGGACTGTGGTGGACCAAGCAGCCGCCCCAGGCTCAAATGGGGAGGACCCTGGCAGACACCCGAGATAGAATGGGTTTTTCCCTCGCCCTCCCTGCCTCCTTGGCCATGGCTGCTAATTGCATGGTGGGCACAGGGTGGGTCTCTGAATTGCTTCTGGGCTGGGTAGAGGGCCTGGGTGCTGCTCTGTGCCTCTGAAATTACAGGCTGCAAGTGAGTGACACAGCCCACTCCATGCCATGGACCTGCCCATGCCCAGTGGAGCCGTGGAGGTGAAGCCATGGGGAGCATCCAAGCGGGCCCCATGACTGGTCCCAGAGCTGGAAAAGGTGGAGCGTGAGGCTCTTGGGATAGGTGAAGAGCTGCTGGAGCAAACCTCAGAGTATTAGCTGGCCAAAACCTGAAAATGCAAGAGTGGAGGTCAGAGTGGTCATTCATACGGTAAACAAGCATTTATTAAGCACCTACTGTGTTCCAGGCACTCTCCTAGATGCTGCTGTTATGGCAGTGCATAAAACAGGCAAACTTCCTGGTCCCCACGGACCTGGCTCATTGACTCTTGGATGACAGTAATCTCCAGGAGCTGCCCTGGATGTGCTGTGTTCCCATCTGCCTCAGGGCCTTTGCACATGCTGTTGCTGTTGCTGGGACCCCTCTTGCTTCCCTGCCTTCCTAAACACCTCCTCATCCTCAAGAGTTGCTCTAGTGTCACCTTCTCATGGAGGCCCCTTTGAGGCTTGGGACCAGACTAGCCCCCGGCACATGCTCCCGAGGCCCCTGAACTTCCCCTCCTGACTCTTAGCCTAGTCTGCAGTTAGATGCTCATTTGCTTGTTTACTTGCTGGTTGCAGGTCTCCCTCTACTCTGCAGGCTCTGCGCCTCTGTTTGCTCATCACTGCCTCCCAGAACCTGACTTGGGGCTGGGTGCAAAGTAAGAGCTCAAGAAATATTTGTAGAATGAATGAAATTTAGAATGTTAGAGTGTTGGAGCCTTAGGACTGGCAGGCTCGTGGTGAGCATCTCGTCCAACTCCACATTTAGCTGCAGCCCAGAGAAGGGCAGTGATTTGCCCAACTGCCCATAGTTGGTGTTTGAGCTGGGGTTGGGACTCAAGGCTCCTTTTTTCTCTGGTCAGTGACTGACATTGTTGCTGTTCTATCCTCAGATTATGGGTTGAGATGTTCAGTTTAAGGACAGCATTGTGTCTATGTGTGTGTGTGTCTATGTGTGTGTGTTGACATGATCTGGCAGCCCTTTGACAGGACAGATGGAGGTGGTAGAGGGGCCAAGCTGTGGGAAATGGGCTCCTTGGGGGTGGGGGGGCTCACAGGCCTGATGGTCCCATTTCCAGATGTTCTGACTTAGGGGCTGGGGCAGAAGAAAGGACTCTAACCCTCATCATGCTATTGGATCCTGGACAGGTCCCACCACCATGAACCTCAGTTTCCTCATCTGTCAAATGGGCTTCACTTATTCATTCGCCTCTCCCCAAGCATGTGGGGGCTGCTGTGTTTGACACACAGCACTAGGCTCTACAGGGGGAGGAAAATCCAGGGCTCTGGAGGGTGGGTGATTCTAGCTCCATGGGAAGCAAGGAAAGTAATAATGAAATTCAGCCTCAGTGTGGAAGACAGAATAGTTTCCCCTGCCCCAAGATGTCCATGGTGTAATCCCCAGAACCTGTGAATGTGAGTATGTCACTTTACATGGCGAAAGGAATTTTCACATGTGGTTAAGGATCTTAGATGGGGAGATTATCCTGGGTCATATGGGTGGGCTCAATGTCATCATGAGACAAGGGTCCTTAAAAGGGGAAAAGGGAATTGGAAGACAGAACCAGAGAGATGGCAGCATGGGAAGGAATCAGACCGCTTCTGCTGGCTGTGAGGATGGAGGAAGAGGCTGGCGGCCACGGCACGTGGGCAGCTTCCAGAAGCATGAAAATGTGAAGAAACAGATCTTTCCCCTGAAGACTCCAGAATGAACACGAGTCCTGCTGACACCCTGATTTTCAGCCCAGTGAGACCCATTTCGGACTCCTGACCTCAAGAGCTATAAGATAACAAATGTGTGTTGTTTTCAGCCACTAAGTTAGTGGTATTTTGTTACAGCAGCAACTGGAATTGAATACCGCTGGGCCTGGCCAGTGCTTTTTATATTGTTGAGCATGTTCATGCTCACGAGCTCCTCTGATTTTGCCAGCAGCCTTGTGAGCAGTGGACTTTTTATCCCCACTTTATAGATGTGGAGACCGAGTCTCCATGTACAGCAGGACATGGTATAGGCAGTGTTTGAACCCATGTCTGTCTGCCTCTGGGCTCACTCTGCCCCTAAAGGAGGAGCACAGGTGGAGGGGAGGGGACTCAGAGGGACCCCTCATGCTGGGGCATCTGTACTGGGAGCTGGCCCTGTTCCTGATGGTTGTGCCTCAGCCTCCTCAGACTGCTGGGTCATGGCTAACCTCCCTGGTAGTGGGCCCTGAGGGAGGTCTTGCTGCCCTGCCCAGCTGATGTCTGGTCTAGGACAGGTCAGATAGGGATGGGACACCCCCTGGCCATCTTGAAGTGGGTGCAGCTGCTACAACATGTCTGTGGGCAGCCACTTGCACCTGCGGGTGTATGTGCGTGACTGTGTGCGTGTGTGTGTGTGTCCATTGGTGGACAGTCTGCTATTCCCTCTAGGATGCAGGATTTGGGGTGATCTCAAGAGATGGTGGGAAAGTCTCTGATTTTATTTTCCAAACAAGTGACTGTTTCCCCTTTCTAGAGGTGAGTGGGTACTGCTGGGCCCATCACAAGGAACAAGGATAATCTAGAGTCCTGGTTTCTGCAGGGAGGGTATGGATGGTTAATCACGCACTCACTGTTCCAGACCTTCATTGGCTCCGTACTGCCTCCTGGATGAATAACATTCTGAGACTTTAGTCCAGCTCCCGCACCTCCTCCAACCCTCCTTACCTGCTCCTCCCTTTGGTCCATGCTCCAGCCTCATTTATTCACCGTGTCTTGTCCATATGTGGCATTCTCGGCCACCATGCCTTTGCCCACGCTGCTCCTCCCACCTGGAATGCCCTTCCAGGATCTCCTCTAGTTCAGGCTCTGCTTATTCACAGCTGGGTCCTCAAGGATAACTTCCCTGCCTCTTTCCCTCAGAGAATCAGTCTCTCAGTCGTGGGGGGTTCCCGGAGCCCTTGGTCTGGCCTCTGTGCTGTCCCAGGTCCCTTTTTGTTTTGTAAAAAAGTAATTTACATGTGTGTCCTTCTCCCTGGAAGTCTGCGAGCTCCTTGAGGGCTGGGCTGTATCTGATTCACCTCTGGAACCTGCTTGGCACAGCACCTGGGGCCTTATGGGTGTTGACTAAGCATTTGCAGAATGAGTGAATGAGTATGTGAATGAATGAATGCAAGGTGCTGCTGGCCCACTCAATTCCTCAGGATGGCCAGAGGCTGCCACTGATGCACTCAGGACCCTGGCTGAAGCCTTTGAATTCACCCTGCCTCACTTTCCCCCTCTTTGAAATGGGTCTCAAACTCCTGCTCAAGCTACTCTATTTAGGGTATTGTGAGGTACAGATCCCAGAATATCAGAGCCAGAGGTTGCCCAGAAGGCCTCCCACCCACCCCTACAACATGGGGAAACTGAGGCCTTGAGAGGGGAAGGGCCTGACCAGGGCCAGAGAGAGGGTTCCAAAACTGGGCTCCCTGTGCAGGCTTGGACCCTCCATCAGGCCTCTCTATACACATCCTGCTCCCACTCTGCACCCCAGCCTGGAAAACCTGAGTCACAGCTGGAATCAAGGACGGGGAATTTTTCTTCTCATTTCCAGGGGCCTCCGAACCTCCCTGAGATCACCCCTTTGGAGTGTAAGGGAGTGGGCAGGACCCCAGCTCGCTGCACTGGGGAAGTGCTGTGGGACAGCCCTGCCTGTCTGTCTGTCTCAGCCAGCCCTGGGGACCCAAGGTCAGGGAGGAAGTGCCGCATCTGATCTTCCCCAGAGTGGGAGTGTGAGCGAGGGAGGGATTGCGTGTGGCCCGAGCGCAGCCCCGCCCCTCTCCAGTCCCCACCCCAAACCCTCCTAATGAAATCAAGCTGGCCCCTGAAGCCCAGACAGGGAGGAGGGAAGGAGGAGGGACGGGAGGAGGGACAGGAGGAGGGAGGGCGGCAGGCGCCAGCCCACAGCAGCCCCAGGCACGGTGTGGACTCTCTCCTGGGCCAGGCACCCCCCACTCTCGCTCCACCTGGCAGGAGCACCCAGGCCTGAGCGTGGAGGAACTGGTGAGTCCTGGGGTTCCCTTCTCTGTCCTGAGAGCCTGGGCTGTCTTGGAGTTTAGGGACTGGTGACTATCTGAGCACTTTGCGGGTGTCTTGAAGCATGTGTGAGCTTTGAGTGAGTGTTGGATGTTGTGTGCATGTGTGTGATGGAATGTGTGTGCGCCTTCTGTGAGTCCCGGGTGCAGTGCTGGGACTGGCCGAGGTGTTCTGTGTGTGCAGTTGGGGCCTTGGTGTAGGGGGGTGTGCTTTTCTCTGGAAGTGAACACCCAGGGTGTTGCTTCCAAGATCAGGGTGAGGGTGGTGTGGACGGAGATTGTCCTGTGTGTGGACATCGACTGTGTGTCAGGGCATTGCGTGTATGCACGTATGCATGTCCATGTGTGTTCTCTGTGCATCCGTGCTAGGGGGCTGTGTGAGCTCTCTTGAGTGTCTGGGTGCTGTGTCCTGCTGCTGTGACTGTGTTGTGTGTCCATATATTGTGTGTCCATACTGTTGCTGCTGCTGCTGTGTGTGTGTGCGCGCGCGTGTGTGTGTGTGTGTATGAGAGTGGGTTTTGAAACCTCAGGACCCGCTTCCCATCCAGACCTCCCCACCAAGGGGCCCAGGGCCCTGTCCTAGGCCAGCCCTGGAGAGGGGAGTGCAGTGTTTTAGCCAAGAGCCCCCTTCCCCAACACCACTAATTGAAGCCAGGTTTCTGTGGGCCGCCCCTCCCCATCAGGCCACCAGTGTCTGGGTGGGGGTGGGGCAGCGGCTCGGCCCCTCAGCTTCAGATCTTGGGGTACTCAGGCCTTAGGGGTGGACGTGAATTCATCTGCATGTTCATGACCACAAGTAAGGCCATTACATTTTAAAATAGCAAACCCTGATCGAGATGGTCCTGAGTGGGGAACCCTGGATAGTCACATGGTGCCCACTGACTGATACCTGTTGTGCACCAGGCACTGCCGTCTTGTCCTAACAATAGTCCAGAGAGGTGGCCCTTATCCCTGTCGTACAGATGTGGAAACCGAAGCTCAGAGAGGTGACATGCCTGGGATACATAGCAGGGAAGTGACCTCCTGGATATTTCAAGAGAGGCTTCTCCACTCAGGGCTCTGCGAGCCTCAGCCCCGACTTGCTCTGCGACCCTGGGCAGGCCATTCCCCATCTCTGAGCCTGAGTTTCCTCTTGGGTGAAATGAGAGGGGTTGGGCCTGACACCAGCTCCTAATGGCCTGTGAGATTCTGAGTTCCTGAATAAGTCAAGACCCAGGAGGCCAGGCCAACCTTGTCTCAGGAGGTGGGGGCACCTGGTGAGCAGTATGATCATTTCAGAACTGTCCAGACCAGTTCTTCCATGCTACATATGGGAAACTGAGGCCCAGAGAGGGCAAGGGGCTTGTCCAGGGTCACACAGCAATCTTCAAGACCCGGTAGGCTGCAGGAGGGGCTGCATCCCCCTGCTTTGCCTCCACCTTTCTCAGAGCCAGGAGGGGTTGTGGGGTGTGGGGGACTCTGAGAGTTGGGGTCTTGGCCTGTAAGAGCCACTGGTGGCTTGTGTGGCCTCCTTCCTTGTCCTCTCCCCTGAATCCAGTGCGCAGGGAGCCCTTTCCTCTGTCGGGCTCACTGCTCCGAGTGAGTGTATATGCGTGTGTGTGTACATGTGTGTGTGTGTGTGTGTGTGTGTGTGTTTTGTCCTGCATTCCTCAGTGGCCAGAGCTAGGGAGATTTCACTGAATGATATAAAAAAGGTGGTCTTTCCTGGAGGGTGGGGGTAGGAGACCATGAGCAAGTGCACACATCAGGTGAGACTGATCATTTGTTGGCTCAGGGTGGGAAAATGTTGGCTGCGGATGACTTCCCTTTCCTCAGGGAGCACTACTCTGTGCCAGGAGCTTTCTGAATGTTGTCTCATGCGGTCCTAACTGCTCTGCGAGGTATGACCTGCGGTCGCTCCCCACCACCCCCAATTTACAGATGGGGAAAGTGGAGCCCAGAAGGGTCAGACTGCAGAGCTAGACAGAACGGAGCCAGGTCTCTCCCCAGCCTCCCTGATTCCCGGCTGACATCCTCACCATGCTGCCGCCTCACAACTTCAGCGGGTCTTTGACCACTTGTGGTGGCAGTTTTGCCCTCTATAGTGAGAAGCTTCGGACATGGCCACTGAAGGTCTCTTCTGGGCCTGACTTGAGGTGGGAGGCAGGGAGGTGATGGGCAGGACAAAGACCCCAAAGCTCAAGGTTGTCTGCAGGAACCTTTGCTAGTGAGTGACACAGAGGGGAGGGGTCCTGATGCGCCATGGAGCATCTCAGATCCTTGTTCCAGCTGACGACTGATGCCAGCTGGGGGAGTGAGCCTGTCCTGGGCCAGACTGTGTGTGCATGTTGTGTGTATATGTGTGAGCGTGTATGTGCACTCCTGGAATCAGGCAGAGGAAGGCTCAAATCCCAGCTCTGTGACTGCCCACCTACGTGTCCTTGGGTGAGTCGTGGTCTGTCTCTGAACCTCCATGTTCCTCATCTGTGGAATGGAGATAGTGGTGGTGCCACCCAGGGCTTCTGCAGGACTGAGCACATGGAGAAGTTTCAGGGACACCCACGATGAGAGCACCAGCTCGTTTAAGATGAACTCCTGGGTAGTTTGCCTCTTTTTATGTCCTGGAATTATTTTTAATTTTTTGCCATCTGATCCTGTTTGTCCAAATTTTCATCAGTACAATTCACTTCCATTAATTGGGAGGCCTCAGGTCACCTGGAACAAGCCACCAAATGGCCCAGCCTTCTTCCTTCCCCATTTCCTGAACGCTCACAGTCACTCATGAGGTGTCATCTGTTCTACTGAGCAGAACCTGAGGCCTAGACGTTGGAGATGGGACCTGCACTGCAGGTGCTAGAAACCTTGACTTACTCCTTCAGCCCAGGAACTTGCTGTGTGGCCTTGGGCCGGCCCCTTGCCTTCTCTGGGCCTCTGTCTCCCCATCTCTGAATGCTGAGATAGGACCTCAGACTGGAGTTGCTAAGGCTTTTCTGTCTTGGCGCTTCTAGCCCCAGCCACCTTGTGGGAACTGGGCTCTCTGCTGGGCCAGGAGAGGCTCTCAGGGAGTGGCCTGGGGGGCACGGGCGAGCAGTCTCAGGGTTTGCCTGAGCACAGACCCACACGCAGACTGGCTGGGAGCGTTAGTGATTTAGAGACTGAGCTCCTTGGTAAACTTGGGCCATGAGGAATTTACTAATCAGCCGGCTGTCTGGGCCAGATGGGGTCTAGAGGTTCGGGCCAGGAGCAGCTTTCCAAGGGGGAAGGGAAGCCTGGGATCATATGGTTCCCATCTAGTGGGGGTGGGGTGGGCGAGCAGCTCCAGCTTCATCTGAGGCTTGAGGGCTTCCCCCAGGGCCTTCCCAGGCCTGCTTGGAGCCCTGAGGTGAGGGGCAGCCAAGCTGGGGATGCTCTCAGCACCACCATGGTATCCAGGCCCCCTGCCCAGCTCAGAGAACCCGAGACTTCAAAACCTAGAATCTTCTGGAGAAGGAGGCAGAGCCGGAGTGGGGGAGGTTTGAGAAAGCCTCTGACTGAGCTGTGGGATGTGACAGGAGCCTCTGTGGCCGCGCAGTGCCTGGGGATGAGGCCCTGAGGGGAACGGGACCACAGAGGGGCTGGGGGCTGCTGACGAGAGTTCCCTGGGTGGGGATATCACTCGGCTCCTCAGTCACTCAGTTTCTCATTGACTCAGCCCTACTGTCATTTCACCCTTCGTGCCTGGATCCAAATTCCAGCACTTCCTTGCCAAGTCACTTAACCCCTCTGAGCCTCAGTTTCCTCACTCGGAAAATGGGGAAAATAATATCATAGTACAGCCCCCTGTGGAGAGTTGTCAGGATTCAATGAGAAATTTCATATGAGACTTAAAACAGTAGTTGGCGCATATAAGCAGTGAAAGTGTGAGTTAATATTAATAATAGCCAAGTCAGTCAAGATACATTTATTGAGCCCTTACTGTCTACCAGATATGGTGCAGAACCCAGAGGATGCCGAGAGAAATAAGATTCCCTGCCCTCCAGGACCTCGGGAGGAGGTGGGGGCAGGTGTGCACCCCAGTATGAACACACAGGGTCCATTGTATGGCTGGGGGCTCAGGTGCTGGGACGGGAAGTGACTTGCTGGAATATGCACTGCGTTCCCTGCACCTCCCTGGGGTCTGGCGAGCCCTCTTTCTGAGACCCCGGAGTCCCACCTGACTTCTCTCCTCCCTCCTGTCCTACAGGTCCTGGGGACAACATGGTCTCCGCGGTGGCCCGTGGTGTCCTCACTGCTCTGCTGCTGCTCCTGGGGCCCATGCCCGTGGTGGCCCACTCCGTGCCCGTGCAGGCCGCCTTCCTGGAGGATGCGGCGGGTAGCGGGGAGGCCGAGGGCTCATCGGCCACGTCCCCGAGCCTCCCACCGCCCCGGACCACCCTGAGCCCCACGTCAGTGGGGCCACAGCCCACGCTGCGGGCGGGCCCCGCGCCCCCCAGCAACTTTCTGGACGGGATCGTGGACTTCTTCCGCCAGTACGTGATGCTCATCGCTGTGGTGGGCTCCCTGGCCTTCCTGCTCATGTTCACCGTCTGCGCGGCCCTCGTCACCCGCCAGAAGCACAAGGCCTCGGCCTACTACCCGTCCTCCTTCCCCAAGAAGAAGTACGTGGACCAGAGGGACCGCGCCGGTGGCCCCCGCGCCTTCAGCGAGGTCCCGGACCG